ATTTGAATGATGTAAGGTAAGGAAAACACAACAAAGAAAATGGAATTCAAAGTCAAAGACAGGCATTTGTTAGATTAGATTTAGGGAAGGGTCAAGAAAACATAAAATAAACAAGCTTATACACAGATTTCACAGATGTTTTTAACTGGCATCGATACAAAAGAGCAGAAGTTTAATTTTCCAGCATAACCCCGATTTCTCCCAGATGACTCATTGACTGACTTTAATTTGAATCACATGCACACATATTTCCTAAACACTATTAGTGAAAAGCCACATGGTTTTTTCGTACTGCCACACATAAAGGCCTATATATATATATATATATATATATATATATATATATATATGGGAAACTCAAACTCTAGCATTCTCTCCAGACCTTCATACAGTCACATGCACTCCACAAACAAAATGAGAGAAGCAGAATTTGATACAGATTTCTTCCAGTTGTATTTATTGTCAGAGTCTGAGGGCAGGTAAGGAATTCTTGATCCCAGATTCCATTTTCTCAAATAATAATATAATAATATATATCTTCAGAAAACTATCAAACCTCATAAAATTGATTTGCAAATCAGATATCAGATACAAATATATTTAAGAATTCTAATCTTTCATGTTTTGAGCCATTCCTAGGAAGGATAAAGTAAAAGTAAACCAACAGATAGATAGTAATATAGATTTCTTTTAAAAGAAAGAGAGAGAGAGAGAGAGAGATCTGAATGTAACAGAAAGAGAAATCCTGACAGTAACAAAAGCATTTTCATGGTTTCAAAAGGGCACATGAACAGATCATAAAAGAAAAACAAGTTCTAGAACCAGGAAGTGTCAAGTCCCCAGTGAAATTAATAACCAAGCTTTTAACTTAAACAGGGGTAACAGTCTTGAATTTAAAGATGCTAATGAAATAAAAAAAAGTTCTAATACCACTTCTATTTTACAAGGTTTGATAAATCTACCAAGGATATTTCAGAACTTCTTATATAAGCTATTTACAGGTGGAACAAAGTTTCAACAGACCGACAACAAATAAAGAAAAATGATGTCAAATACATGGACACAAGAAACCATGACAACTGATCATGATTACAATTTATCAGGGTGTAAACATCACTTGTCTGAATCAAAAGCTATATCATTTCATTTTTCACCTCCCGACCTCGTTGGGAACACATCACAAGTCAAAAACACTAATCTAGACAATTTACACACCTCAACAACAAAAAAGTTTCAATGTAGGGCAAATGAACACTTACCTGAAATGCTCTCCACTCCCCCCCCCCCCCCAAAGGGTGTTCTTTTCAAAAATATTTAAAGTACAGTACAAAATATAACCTGTTCCCTTCAAAGTTGGCATACAGTATAATCCTGAAGCTGGGCCACTCTCTACTATATTGATACATCAAATTTTTTTTTTTCTGAGTAGGCAGTCACCAGTTGTTGAAAACTTTCGAAACTTTTGAACCTGGAGACTAATTATTTCTGTCAATACCAGTCAAGCTTAGTATCAAACCGTAACACCAAAGAAGTGAGAAGCTCACTATGTAATCTATGGGGCATCCCTTACTATACAACAATAGTAACTTCTGCATTCACAGAAAGCAAACTTAATTCGCAGTATGAAGAAAGATGCACAAAAGTCCATGTATGAGAAAATCAAGGCTAAATGAGCAGTTTAAACAAGCTGGGAAAAAAAACCTGAAAATGGCCGACAAGAGCTGTGCTGCACCATGAAGAGTTCAATACTATATCAAAGTACATGTCCTGACTTAACATCTACATAGTAATCGACAATGCAGAGCCTTTGGCATATTAAATAGTATCCTCACACTGGGAGGGTGAAACTACAGTGGAGATCGTATAATACGTTATTACATAAGCTCGCCAATCTCAATACAGGCAAAAATTTGTACTTTTAAAAAATCAGGGCGGGAGATTTAGACAATTACAATACAGTGGAGTCCACGTATAACGAGTCCTGAAACAACGAGAAGTCTGTTATAAAGACACTATTCTAAAACCCCGTTTTTTCTCCTTCTTTACCTTTGTAAATAAAAATACTGCTATTGCGCAATAAGACCGTCACGTGAGTCGGTTTTAACGGAATATTGCTGCTGCTGTGCACAGCGCACAGACGAATTAAACATATTATAAAACCTTGCCAGTTGAGAAAGTTGTTGGTGATTCAGCGAAACAAAGAATGGGAGAGCCCACGCGAACCAACAATGAAGGCCGGAGCGAATGAGTGGGGAGGGTGTGGCATGCGCAGAGAAGCAGAACGCATCGCATGATAGGCCAGCCCAGTCTAGATTATCTAGGCATACTGTGCCTCTCACTTCTCTGGTGCGCGATGGAGAGGTCACAATGCTGTGATAAATGGAGTGAATGTGTGACGTGTGCAAGCAGACGCAACGCACCACAGGGTGTGGTGGGGTGGGGGACAACACAGCGGACGAGTTAGCCTAGAGCCAGAGCCCCTTCTTTCTGATCGCCAACGCCGAGCTGTCAACATTGCTAGTGCTAGAGAAAGAAACCTAATTTGATTTTTGATCAAGTAAGACCTAGAGATCATGTTGAACAAATCATCATCTGGGGAAATACAAAAAGGAATAAACAGAACGCCAAACTCATAGACTAGGCCTACTTTACTATTTCCCTTGAATTTATTACTGGATCCCTTGTAACGAGAATCCTGCTATAACGGACATTTCGCACCGGTCCCTTCCCTCTCGTTATAACAGGATTCCACTGTATAAGACTTTCTCACTCAAAAAATGGTAAACTGGTTATGTTTATACCTCTAAGAATGGTAACATAGGACAAAACACTTTACACTTATACTGGGTTGGGCTTTCTCTTCCTATCAGTCCCAACCCTTTACATTTTTTTCTCATTCACATAACATTGCTACAAATTAGAAGCATCGGGCTTAGGAGAAAACTGATGGGGAGTTGAGACGTTAGGAATACAGTGGAACTCGGATTCAACAAGCTCGGATTCAACAAGATGAGATAGATTCCCCGTTTTTTTTTTTCTTCTTTAAAATCAATAAAAATAACCCGGATTCAACGAGCACTTAAATCAGCGAGCTCGGATTCAACGAGGTCGCTTCCAGGGTGAACAGCCTCCGCAGACATGGCTTCGCTCATTTTTCTCCCAGAACAAACTTTATCTATTCCCGGAAACCATCCATTGCACCTGCATCGAGAACCAATATTCACTTAGCCGATTGTATGCGGCCAATCAGAGGCCTTTTTTCATACAAACACATGCGTTGTTGGCACGCGCACGTGTCTACTCTGGCGTGTGTCGGGGTTGGATGGGCGGCCTTGAAACGTGTGGCTGTGTGTTCGTGTCGGGGGGGGGGGGGCACTAACGGTCCGGGCGTTGAACGTCGCAGATACAAAGGCGCCACAGTCTTTTTTTCCCCTCGGCAACTGATCATTATTACAATAATAAGATAGTCTTGACGTAGATCTACGTAATGAATTGTGCGCTGGTCTATGAAATCAAAAGTTGCTGTATGCTAGGCTCTACACAGCAACACAACTTTTTGGTAAACAATTGAGGTGAAACAGGTGTGTGTATTTGAACGAATCTGTCTTTTTTTACACAGCTCATAATATGCTGGCATTTCAGCCACTACTTGTGACTTCTCTGTATACATTACTTGCTCAGTGCCTGTTATTATCTACACAAAACCTCGTGTTTGCTATAACGAACATTCGGATTCAACGAGATTTTAGGTCGGGCCTGGCGACATCGTTGAATCCGAGTTCCACTGTAACAAAATCATCACAGATAATTTACTGGCATCCATCAAAACAAAAGTGTACAAAATAATCAAAACTGAACAAATGAGTGATATAATGCGGCAACCGGGAGAATATAATGGACATCTCCAATATGGTAATGGAAAAAAAAAATCAGTGCCATTGACAGAAACATTTCTCCCATTGTATAGACATCATTAGCTCACAACTGTTTTCCCAAGCTATGGCTCTCTGCACCGGACAGCAAGGAATCATTCCGGCATGTTCCTCTGTCTCTAAAGTATAGTACAAAACAAAAAAGGTATACAGGAATTAATTGAAGAAAACATAAGATTCAACTGAACACAAAAGGGATCTGTTCTTAATAAGGTCATTCAAGTGGAAGTAGGTAACAAACAAAAGCCCAGACTCCTGTACAACAATAACAGTCAGGAGCGAGAAATCTGAACATGGTCACTTTCTTCACACAATTATAAGAATTCACTGTGGGGACATCCCACTGTAAGCTTCCAAGGAGCCGTTGCACCAATTCCAGATTGTCTGAGGGTAAATTTCGTTTAGACAACTTAAACCAAATAAAAAGGAGCATAAAACAGGATCAGATTGAAACATTGTCTGAACCAGCTGGGAATTCGTAACGGGGAGATTGTCATTCACATCACAAGGCAGAAATCATGACTGTACTGTGGCAAAGTAGAGTGGTGATCTTAAAAGGGAGAGTGAATTACAAATATGCAGTTGAAAATTAGAAAATGTAATTATTTATAGCTGTCTACTAAAGGTAAATCTAAAATTCAGAGAGTCTTACATCAAGAGGGAGGGGGGTCAGGGTAGGCTACATGTACATTTTATAAACACTTACAAGGAAGTTAAAAAGAGAGTCTGACTGGACCTTGACGGTATGTTCACTGGATCATATAGGGGTCCTATAGTTGAACAGTTAAGCATTGGACTAGTAATTGAAAGAAAAGTTTGATTCCAGGCTCCATAGGATAGGAAACTGTAAGAAAGGTATCTTACCCATGTCTTTTTTTCCTAAGTTCTTCCAGATGGCTTCTTAGCTATTGGTAGAAACAGAATAGGAGAATGTAAGAGACATGCCTTTAACTGATTTAGCCCGCAGCACCACTCACAGTGGCTGATTGTCTCCTGTGTGTTGACACAGAGCTGCTCAGACCGGCTCTTATCTATTGCTCACTTTCTTCACATCGCTTTCCTCTCTTCTTTTTTTCTTTACCACATACATTTCAACGCTTTTTTTCTGGTGTCATGGAAAAGTATTTTTTATTCTGAACATTTTTATATGCCACAATATGGTTTTATCAAATTTAGATAACTTCTTTATTAACTTTTTGTCAGACTATCCGTGAGGTCACGAAGCAGTCACAAATTACTTGCGTCCGAAGTCAAAATTATCTGCGGGCTGAATCAATTATCAGGCTGATGTACTGAATGCCCCCCCATAAATTATTATAATGTACAGGTTGGCCAAGAGTCAAGAGTAAAATTATAAAGTAGCTGCCGGGCAGCTGTATGAGCCCATTGGGAGTAATACACGACTATAAATAAGAACTTTTTTAAAGACATTCCACCATAGCAAACGCCTTCTGACTAAAAGTAAAAGGTAGGGTGACAACTGACTCAACAAACACAAACCTTTGGAACAGAGGACAGTAAAGCAATGAGACTTCCCTGCACACAAGAGAGGAAGTGTATGACTACACCTTATAACATTTCTTAGATAGTTCTATTTCTTCATAATCTAACCAAGGTAGCTTACGGTTCTATCCAAACTCCTGATTAAATATTGCTTCAAATTTAATTATATCGGATTATCATTTGCAGGATCAAATCACTGGTGACAAAGGAAACTTATGGCAAACATTCAAATACTGAGCAAATAGAAGTGCATTTTCGCAAAAATATTTCATACACACAAGGTGAGATTACATGGTAATGTGTACATGTTATCTAAAGGGATTTCAAGTAACAAAATGTTTCTAGTTCAACAATCACAACAAAGGACACAATTCACTTCTGTACAGCTACTGAAAGACTACAGAAGAACACGATTCTGATAGCAGAAAAGCCACAAAACTACCTAACTATGCAGCAGTGTTCAAGGTCCATAAGTTTAACCACAATGTCAAGATACATGCGCGTCCTGCTGGCTTGTTATAATGTCTCTGGCCACAGTTAGACCAAAAACGTATTGCACCGAAATAGTAAAATAATCCTTCACTCTGCATGATCCTCAGATAGTTTCCAGTCCAGTTGAGACAATAACTTGTCTAGGAATATACACCAAAGTCCATTCAAGTCTCGGTATCACATCACAAGTTCGGAAGACATCCCCTCCACAAATCAAGTTTAGTTTGGATCCAGAAGTTCCGGAGGGGTTGGCAGCAAAGAAGTGAAGAAAGCTTGCACCGTGTTGCAGGCAAACAAAAACATGCGAGATACACGACCGCCTTCTTCTTCTTCCACCTGTCCATTAGCTGGGGCCTGACCTGGCTCTTCTGTGTTTTGAGCTGGTGCGGACTGATCACCTTCACCGCCATTCTGCAGAGGTACCAGAACAGTTTTCAATCAAATGATTTTCCTTTTCAAACAACTAATTTGAGCTAAAGTTTCTGGCAAGTTAAAAAAATACGGGCCACACTTCACAATGAAACAGACTGTACAACGAAAATACTGCAAGACATAAAAGGGCAGCATTGACAACAGCACTCCTCTGATAGCTTTTAGCTGAACTAACTCTACGACACCACCTCCTCAGAAAATCAGCTGTAAAGTTTTAGCACGAAAACAAACAACACAAAAAGGCACTGAACGAAGTTAAAAACTTTTTTATGCTTTTTATAGTTTATTGCCGTTAATGGGAGCTGTTGGGATCGATTCTAGAGATGTGAAATATAAGAGAAATCAAATTTACTTTAAAATATTTTTCACTCTGATCGATGGAAATCGACCCAAACATCAGTCGCCTGTTCCTTTACACTTGTCAGCCAGAAATGATTTCAAGGATTATCCTGAAAAGCCAGAATTAAACCTGTGCTACCATTCCAATAATTTGCCTTCAAGTAGCGAATTCTGACAAAGAAAGGAATTATCATCATGTCTGTTTTTATCTTAACCAGTATTATAACCATGGATTTGGAGGACTTGACAGAAACGTTTATTAAATCAGGTGAGATGAAAACGTCACCCTTTGTGTTATTCTGGCAGATGGGGGACAACAGAAAAACAATTAAATAAAGTGTCAAATTTCATGTTTTTATGAGATCAGTGTGAAAATTTGCATAAACAGAACATTAAAAAGAATAGATAAGAAATCACTTGTAACATCTACTCTCACTATGTAAGCAATCAAACACCTTAAGAGGCAAGTGAAAGCACCACGAATATAACCTTGAGAACCTGATCTGTAGAAACTGAAATTGTTAGCATTTGTCGCAGGAGCTCTGTCTATATCAATGTTTGAAAGAGGACTCAACTCACCCCATTGTTTTCGGCTTGGACATTCACTGCATCTTCTTGCTGTTCTTCTTGAGGAGGCTCCTCTTGTTGCTGTTGTTGTTGCTGTTGTTGTTGTTGTTGCTGCTGTTGCTCCCTGTCTCTGCGTTGCATGTATTTTCGAAGTTTTTGGAGACTGTATAAATGCAAACATAATTTTGGGTATTAGAGAAGAGGTGTAGGAGGTCAACTCAACGTTAAATTACCTCTTTTTTTTTTATAGTAGAGGGTTTTACAGCGCTCGCAACTGCATAAGGTCATATGAGCACCAAGGGGTGGGTGTCAACAAAGAAGTCTTTACAGGGATCAGACTTACTCTGCTCACCTCTCTAGCTTCAAAAGCAGAAGGTCTTCTTCAACTATCATGGCACCCCGGAAATAGCAGGTCACAAGAAAGTGACAAACATACAAAAGAAGTAGAGGAAAATGACAATAGTAAGGATTAGGAAAGAAAAAGCAGCAGTTCCCTGTTGTAGATCAGGCACAGTTATGAGCATGACATGAATCAGCCCATTTACAATTCTACTGTGCTTGAACGAGAAATGTCCCCCCTTTGGGAATGGCCTAAAGACACTACAGTGGGCGCACAATTACCTCAGTTAGACCAAATTTGCAAATGTTCATCATAAAATTGTATAGTGTAAACACCCCTGGCAACCCTAGAAGGTTATTTAAGAGGCAGTACCACTGAATTTAACGTCCATCTCAGATAGGAATAACTAAATAGGACATTCATGTAAAATGCCTTTCCCAAAGGCACAACGTTAGACTGAGCTGAGCCTCAAACCAAGCTCATTATGTGTACATTAGGTGTATTCAGTAAATTAAAACAATCCATCAAGACAATAATATGTCTCCATCAAGTTTTCACATTGATATTTAATTATTCAAAAGCAGAAAAAAACTTAAAAATATTTCCCACTTCAAATGAAAAGCTCCAGGTAGGTACACTTAACAGAAAGAGTTTTTTTTAAAAAGAACATAAAAGACACTCAAATTAACTCCAAAGATCCTGTACAGAACCAATTTTTTGAAAAAGAACAAACAGACCACAACATAGCTCCAACAAACAAGCCACTACTTCACAGTATGCAGCATCCAGCGACTTACAAGTAGATGGCGAAAGAGCCTGAGAAAACGACGAGGAATCGGCTGAGGTTGGAATAGAAGAAAAGGATCCCCATGAAGGTGAGAAATCGCATGATGAAGTAGGTGTGGTGCAGCCAGTCGCGTGGCTCCCCATCCTCATCCTCGTCCTCCTCCATGCCTCCCTGGGCATTCATTCGCACATTCTGGCGCCCGGCACCCGCACCTCGGTTGTTGGCAGCACCATCCCCAGCAGCGTTCGGGGCTTGGGCTCCTGCGGGAGCAGCCGGCTGTGGCTGTTGAGGCTGCTGGAGCCAAGGGGAAGGATACCCCTGTTGCATGAAAGCATTGGCCGCCAGAGCTGAAGCTTGATCAGGACTGTATACATTCTGATAGCTGAAAACAAAAATGGAAAGGTTATTGAACACGTCTATATGTCTATTCTCTAAAGTGTTATGATAGGACAGCCCCATTCATTAAGGTATAGCAATAGAATATCCTCATTCACTAAGGTTAACAAATAAAATACCCCTATTCCTAAATACAAATATAACAGGGGGAATATACTCATTCATAAAACATGATTCAATAAATAACCCCCATTCATAAACCCGTGGTGATAGAATTAGAATATCTATAATTATTTACACGAGTTACAATTGACTATCCTTGGGCGTAAAAGTGTTACAAAATCACCCCTGGTTGAAAATGTGTTGCTATTGAACATCCTCACTCACTGCTGTATTACAACTGAAAACCACGTTCACAAATGTGTGATGATGAAATTATATTATATTATATCACCAAAGCGTCTTTGTGCATTGGCTTCGTTTGACACGCAAAAACATTCCTATATAGTGTAACAGACCGTCTTCCACAAAACTGCACTTACTACTGCATGTATTGCATCATGTACTGAGAGTACATCTGCTGCATCATAGCCATGTACTGCTCGGGGTTGTACGTGTAGCCTTCGGCGCCGGCTGTCGCGGGACTGAAGGCACTGGCGGCGGACATGTACGGGTTGTAAGCACCGGGGTGGAAACCAAGATACGTGTACATTCTGGGGAACAGACCAAAGGACATCAGGTTATGTCTGTGCATGGCAAGAGAAAGACAAACAGACAGAAACAAGAGAGGGGAAAAAAAGAAATAGGACTTACCAGTGGTGCCCTTTAACCACAAGTTCATGAAGTTTGTGTCCATTGTCTTTTGGCCTTGATACTTCATGTAATGATCAGGGAAGGAGGGAACTCCTATCGTCCATACAAACAGCTTACAAAACACTCTATGGGTCCCTACACCACAAAGCAGACTTCAACCTTCTTCAGACTGTCACAAGTCACAAGCCAGTAAGAGTGAAGAACTTTCTCAATTATTTCAAAACCAAATGAGACTTGCCTCAAGGTAATTTCCCTTTTGAACAGAGGACTCACCCAGGGTATGCTGCAAAATTCGGCTGAGTGTTCCCACTAGCCTCGGGTGTGCCTCTGTATCTCAGTCCATCCGTGCCTGTCTCTGTTGGGGGAATACTCGTCGGGACATCAGTGGGGGCTACTGGAGAAGTGGTACTGCTAACAGTCTCTGGCTGAGGAGAGGGTACTGAGGGGACTGGGTTCTGAGGATGACAGGTGAAAGCATATATTCAGAGAGCACAAACGCTTCACAAACAGAGCAATATCTGTCAGGAACATGTTGTGACCTGAACAAGCACATGAAAAACTTAATTGAGAGTCAAGTGAAAGCATTTGCGAAACAATTAGAAGACATAATGAATCCTTTGCAGTTTCTATTACAAAGAAGCAAAATTACTTTAAAATTGGAAGTTTGTCTTGTTTTGTTTGAGGAAAAAGAAGCACGCAGACACAATAAGTCATTTAGCATGAGAAAAAATAAAAGCAGACAGAAACACCAGAAGGGTAAGAAATGAAGTAGGACCTAACAGTCGTGCCCTCTAATTGCATGCTTTCAGACTGAATTACCACAGAAAGAGGTAATTGAACACAGATACAGTCATCAAACATAAGGACTATTAAAATTATGTCCACTTCTAACTGAAAACTAACCAGGTCAAAAAAAAAAAGTTGCTCCTTTCAAAGTTCTAATGGATCTAAGCTTATAGGGCATTTATTCATTCATCAGGGATCCATATGTTAGTTTTTTTTCTCTCTTGGTTACAACCAACACTTGGGGCAGTAGACATTTCCTTGTTGACCAGTGTTCATTCATATCATCATTTTATAAATTAAAGTAATCTATCCAAGAACAGTATGACAACAAAATCCTTCACGGGTAATTCATTCCTTTAATTGCTATTTTGGCCAACAACACAACATTCAACGTGAGTACTGTATTCACCTTTACAGATGTTTTCACATTGTCAGAAGATTTGGCTGTAAGGGAAGAGTCGTTTGATGAAGAACAAACAAGATGGAGAGTATACCGGTTCGACGTCGAGGAGCTGTCATACTGGAAGGAAGAAAGGAAAATATTTAAGAGGCCACAGATACCATCCAAATATTTAAGAGTAATCGACTATAAATACAAATTGAAGGAGAGACTAAACTTCAGATGATCCATGTTTTACAAAACGATTCCTCCACCATAATGAAAAAGAAATTAAATTACCAACTTAAAAATAAAATTAATCGGGACACATTACAACTTTTTACAGCTGCTAGCAAAAGGGCTCAGTAGTAGTAGTATAGGGTTTTATGGCGCTCGCAGCTGCGTAAGGTCATATGAGCGCGCAAAAGGGCTCACATAAACATTTTATCACACCATGTGTTTTAAAGCAAAGCCAATGAAAAATTTATTTTTCACTTAATATAGTCCCTTTTTGTTTGCTACATGAGAAAGGGCTGTCTTTTCTAAGCATTGTGATTTTTCAATTTTTTAAAAAATTGCCAATAACCCCATAACTATAGGAGGTTACAGGATTAAAATATAGGAAAACATTTTCAAAACGAAGACCACCTTACAAGTTTCTGTAAGATTTTCAACCAATTTGCATAACATTGCTTCATAAGTGTACACCATACCTGTCTTAGAATATCCTTCAGAGTCAGCTGATCTTGGAGCAAGCGCCCTGAGTAAATCAAACGTTGTTCATTGTATTTCTGAAAATGAAACAAATCAATTTAAAAGGGACTTTAAGCTGTAATGAAACAACAACTTTTTTTATTACATAGTGACGACAATCATCTTTTTGTATTCCATTAACACCTCCTCAATATAGAAAGAATACTAAAAAACAATCTCTTCGACTACATCTCAGAATTGTATTTCGCAAACTTTTAAAGCAACTATTATTGTAAAAACTTACAGGACAGTGACAGAAGTACATAATAATAAAAATTAAGAAAGAAATGTGGGTGTGCCTGGTGAGAGGTACCAAATGACGCATTTTGAAGAATACCGGTTTTTTTTTGGGGGGGGGGGGGTTCATGAACAGAGATCTTGTCTCTCAACAATATGCTTTTTGAATTTTTACGATATCTTAAGTAGTTTTTTAGATATGGGTGATTTTGTAAGGCAGGGTACAGAAACAAAGTTTTGAGAAAAATGGCATAACCCTCGTCCTGTGGGGGACGGGTTTATGTCGCCCAATAAGCCTATTTCAGCACCTTGCCTACGTTCTGGTCCCGAATCAGTGTAGCCCCTGGCTCAGCGCAAGCGCATCATCTTACGTGAAATTCTGGTCCCGAGTCAGATCCCCATTCACGCAGGTCAAGTGTGTGTGCATCAGTCTGCTTGAGTTTGTGTGCGTTTGTGGCCTTCTTCTAGAACTGCCCGCGTTGGTTCGTAATCGAGGCATACGTCTCATTCAAAACACGCCACGTTGGTAGCTCTAGATGTTCGTCCAATGAAATTATAGAAAAACTGACCCACTAAGACATGAGGGCTCGAAAGGATAGTCAGGACACAAGACTTCCTTTTTTCTATACAAAATCTTTCAAATGAGCTTGATTTTGTATGAAATGATACTACCTGATAAAAAATAAGCTTGTTTGATAGTTTTGAATACCATTGTGCAGGTCCAAAGAACAATTTGAGTGCAAAACATTCAGAAATTGACCTCTATATTATAATCCCATTTCGAACCTCAAGTCATTCATAACAACAAGAGCGTCCAGAAAGGTTATTCAAATGGGCGTAACTTCTCGTAATGTCTTATCAGCTTGTGAGAGGGGGTTATTCATGTGTTTGTAACAATTTATAAATAGAAAGCTATGAAAGATAGAGCGTTATTTTCCTCATCGATTAACACACTTCCACGGTATTCATGGCGAAAACACATGTTTCCTGGCGCGCGGGCTGTACACTAACAGTACACAGTACACTGAGTGACCGCGGCGGCCTGCACGGCACGTCCGACATAATTGGTTGCCGATAAGATTCGCATCTCAGCACAGACGCAGGACAAGAGTTAAAGTTTCCCCTTTGTTTTTGTTTCAAATAGGTCTACGCTTCAAGACGACGCAACAACACATTCGCTACTCACAAACTAACTTTAAAAAGCAGCTAAGATAAAAGAACACCTTCAAGGCGTTTATAGTATGTCTTCAAAACAAATTCACCACCACCTTGAGCAAGAATTTTCCAGAAATAAGGTCTAGGTTTGCGCAGGGCAACAAAAGGTGATACAAGTTTGCTCTCCACAAAAACGAAAGGGTGTGGATGCGCAAAACTTTGCTTTGTTTATATGTTTATATGTTCTAGATATTTATGCGCACTACCCGCCATTTGAGAGGGGAGAGAAAGACCTAAATTTTGGTATGCACTGTGATTGGGTCGAATTTATGAACAGACAAATAAAACCACTCGCAGTGTTTACTCGGAAAACCAATTTTCTCATGCATTTTTTGGGATTATGCAATATATACCACGTGTTAAAAAACATCTTTAAAAATGTATTTTAAAGTAAAAGAAAATCAAATCCTTGTAAATATTGATAAATTAATGGCTAAAGAATCCATTTTTAATTGAACTTAGTTTTTGTCAAAAATTCTATTTCTGACCTTTGAAGCCTGATATCTCGGTTCGAACAAATGCGTCTTTTGGTACCTTTCACCAGGCACGGTCACAAATACAACTGATCATGAGACCATCTCTGAGCTAACAAACTCCATGCCTGTTTGAGGCACTATGTATATTTTTAAGCCAAAGAAATTACATCTCTGAACACCATTCTCAAGTCTTTTGAATAAAATTATTCCTCAAGTATAAATACTTACTGGTCTGCTTGGGTACACAGTCTCCAAATGTTCCTTCAGTTTGCGCACAGTCCAGCTGAGTACACAGTCAACTACTTGATCATCCATCCTCTGGCTAGGAGCTTTGATCACCAAGGTCACTGGTATGTCCCCTGGAAGATCCATCCTGGAAGACCTGCCGTTGACCTTCAAAGTTCACACTTGCTTTAGTTGCGAGAAGTTCTAGAGGCAGTACCGAGACCGCTCAGCCTTGACTGGTCCTGGAAGCTCAACTTTTGACCAACGATATCCAACACGGTAAGAACTTGAGCTGCAAATAAATCAGTAAACCTAATGTAAGGAATGTAACAAGTCATTGTTTTCCCACTGAAAAAGACTTACAAAAACAATGTTTAGAGTTAGTTATATTTTAAAATCAATACTTAACTGTGTACAGTCAAACCTCATTGTAGCCCCCCCCCCCCATCTCATTATACCACCCACCCTTACCGCTAGGTTTTGCCAATGTAAGAAAAGGAAAGCTATATAAACATGGTATTTTTGCACCTTTTCACCACCATACGCCAACTCTTTTAGTTGTATGGTCCTTATCAAACTAAAATAAATTTGCCCCCCTGTACCACCAGAGGTACACACTACACATGGCGCACAGCACCTTACAGCAGGTGCTTGATCAAGTTCCAACACTTAGCAATGCCAGTGAAAAATTGACTTTTCGTCTCTTTGCCCCTTTTTTAGATAATATTTGGTACCTCAAAGAAAGGGTTTTCTATTCCAAGCATGGTATGCTTTTTTAAGTTAAAGAATCGATTCATTAAAAAAAAGTTATAGGGTTGTAAAGTGCGGCAAAACACGGATGACTCATATTGGAAAATATTCTCTAAAAGCGGGCCACATAACAAATTTTGTAAGAAAATCAACGACATCTCAGTAATTAATTGGAGCATTTGAAAGAAACTGGGCTACCCAATGTAGTTTTGAGTGGAAAAATAATTTCTACGTTCAGATTTACTAACCATTTTGTAGCTATTTTGTCAAACTGAAATTTTCATATACATTACAGTATTGAGAAAGAGTGGTATCGGGATGAGAGCATTTTATTTATTTTATAATAGCATTGTATCACAACATGGGATCTTTAAGAATATGTTGGCAGCGTGATTAAGTAAAATGGCAAAACTTTTTTTGATGACTTTAGACCACGACAATCATAAAATAATTACTTTCAATTCAATCTAGTATGCCGTACAATTAAAAACCTTTCTTTTTTTCATGGAGACGCGAACACCCCCATTACAATGTTACATTAAGTTACGTCTCATTCAAAACACGTCAAGTTGATAGCTCTAGATGTTCGTCCAATGAAATTATAGAGCAAATTGACCCACTTAGACATGAGCAGCTCGAAAGGATAGTCAGGAAACAAGGCTTACAAGGGGTCAAGACTTCCATTTTTCTATACACAATAAATCTTTCAAATGAGCTTGATTTGCATGAAATGAAACTACCTGATAAAAAAAATAAGCTTGTTTGATTTATAATTTTTAATACCATTGTGCAGAGGTACAAAGAACAATTTGAGGGCAAAACATTCGGAAATTGACCTAGATCTATTCAGTGGAATCCTGTTATCACGAGAGGGAGGGGACTGGTGCAAAATGTCTGTTATAGCTGGATTCTCACTATAAAAGGGATCCAGTAATAAATTCAAGGAAAACAGTATAGTAGGACTAATCTATGAGTTTGCGTTCTATTCATTTCTTTTTGTTATCTCCCCTGATGATGATCTTGTTTCAACATGACCTCTAGGTCTTACTTGATCAAAAATCGAATCAGGCTTCTTTCTCTATCGCAAGCGATGCTGACTGACAGCTTGTTGGCGATCTGAAAGAAAGGGCTCTGGGCCCGCTGTGTTTTCCCCCACCCCACTACACCCTGAAGAGGATTCCGCCTGCTTGCGCACACATCACACATTCGTTCCATCCATCACATTGCTGTGACCTCTCCATCCCCGCATCGGTGAAAAAAGAGGCATGATAATGGTAGGCCTGGATAATCTAGACGAGGCCTTCGCTAGCCACATGATGCGTTCTGCTTGTCTGCGCATGCCACACCCTCCCTACTCAGTCGCTCCAGCCTTCACTGTTGACACACATGGGCTCTCCCATTCTTTGTTTGCTAGATTACCAACAAGTTTCTAAACTATCGAGGTTTTAAATATAATATAATTGGCCTATGCACTGTGCACAGCAGCAATTATATTCCGCTATAACCGACTCGCATGTTTGTCTGATTGCGCTCTATAGCAGTATTTTATTCACAAAGATAAAAGAGAAAAAATGGGGTTTTAGAATAGTGTCTGTGTCTTTATATAACAGACTTCTCGTTATTTCAGGACTCGTTATAAGTGAACTCCACTGTACCCCCTTTCGAACCCCAGGTCATTATAATAACAACAAGAGCGTCTAGAAAGGTCATTCGAATGTAGCAATGACAATGAAAAATTAAATTTTCGTCCAAATTGCTTAAAATGGGCTTAAATTAACATAGTATAGGGTAAATTCTAAGAACTATGGTTTTTAAATTTTTTTAATCCATTGATAAAAATAAAAAAGTTATTGGGATTTTTGTTTGCAAAATGTTGGAGGACCTTCATAGGAAAATATCGCCAAAATGTGGGACATGTCTTCTTGATGTATTTTGAGGAATAACTGTTCATATATCAGTAATGAATTGGAGCATATGAATGAAACTTGGCATTTTTATGTCATGTGATTTTTAGTGCAGAATCTAGTTCTGCTATCACTTTTCGATGTCTTTATTACTTTGGATCTTAAAGACTGATATTAGCGTGAAATTTGTTGAATTGCATGACATCGTTTTTACCGTGACGCGATCACCCCTTCTAAAACTCAGTAAAGCGTTATCGGGAAAACCCGCGATGAAGTCATCGGAGACCTATTTAGTTATAGGCAGCTAATCACATGCTGCCTAGCCATCATGCACCTCTAGTATGCCGGCACCTCGCGTGTGGAATGCGTGATTCCAGCTCTAGTGTTTTATCAATGGATGGGTGGTAATTTTAAGTTGGTACGTAAAATGTAGTAAACACAGAGATCTGAAATTTTACAGCAATAAAGAAGATAAGTGGGGCGCCTGTGTGGTCGGCGATCAACCCGCAGCTCCGCTTAGTTTTCAAACCGCAGAGGAAATTCGCACAAACATGGCAATATCTCCGCTTCTAGAAAAATCGTTCGGGATTGTATGCTGGCATGTCGTTAGTTTAACCTTTCCTCCGATTGGTTGCCGAGTTTCATTTATTTTCGTCCACGAGTTTTCCCGTAACTATACTTAGAAGAGAGACACTTCTGATTCCGAGCGGCCCAAAAATTACCCCTCGCGCGGAGGCCGATTTCCGGCCCAAGGCGCAGCGGGCGATTGGCATTGCTACCGAATGGGCGTAACTAGATTCTACTCGTAATGTCTTATCAGCTAATGAGAGGGGGTAAATTTATGAGGCCACCTCTATTCTCACCTCGGGTGAGAATAGCGCAGGCGAGTCTTTTGGCTATTCTCACCCGGTGTCCGTTCACTGTTATAGCCTAGATCTAGGCTAACCAATTTTGCGTTCACCCTAAACCACAGAATTCTACACTGTGATAACAGAAAAATTGTAGCATTCTGTGCCGTGAACAAACGTTCCATTACTACTGTTAGCCTACTAAAAGCGTACAATTTTGTCTGTGGGCAGTGGAGAGAGAGAGAGAGAGAGAGAGAGAGAGAGAGAGAGAGAGAGAGAGAGAGAGAGAGAGAGAGAGAGAGAGGGAGAGGGAGAGGGAAAGGGAGAGGGAGAGGGAGAGGGAGAGGGAGAGGGAGAGAGAAAGAGAGAAAGAGAGAGAGAGAGAGAGAGAGAGAGAGAGAGAGAGACTGAGTAGCGCGAGAACTTCCGGGCAAAACAAAATGGCGACCCGTGTAGTTCGGCTCGATTCGAAAAGTTAAATATAGCCGTAGCATCTTTGTAGACGACCAAATTAATTTACTTTTGTGTTTTAACATCATTTTTTTACTTTGTTTTGGTCAATTTGATCGTCCACACTGATAGACAGTATTCAGAAAGAGACAAGAGACAGAGAAGAGGGGAGGAGTAGATCTTGCGAGAACTTCCGGGCAAAACAAAACGGCGACCCCCGTAGTTCGGCTCGATTCCAAAAGTAAAACAGCCATAGCATCTTTGTAGACGATCAAATTAACTTACTTTTGTGCTATTAATTATTATAACGTAATCTTTTCTTTGCCTTTATCCATTTGATCATCCACATCGATAGAAAGTATTCCGAAATTAGGAAAAACAGGTCTTGTTTCACACCGGGTGAGAATAGCCTACAGTGGCAAGTCTCACCCGGGGTGAGAGGTCGATCGTATTTCTATTCTCACCCCAGATGAGAATAGCCACTTCCTATTTATGATCATGTGTTTGTAACACTTTATGGGGGAGGACTTCCATAACGAGCGATCACTATGAGACAGAGCAGAATTGAGGGGTAGGGGTAGGGTTAGGGTTGGGTTAGGACCGTCAGGGTTAGGGTTTGGGTTAGGGTTAGGCCTCTTTTGTGTTTGATGGGGTGGTCGCTCGTAACGGAAGTCCTTCCCTTTATGGGAAAATAGAAAGATATAAAAGATAGATCTAGAACTAGAGCGTTACTTTCATTCATCATCCTTCAGGGTATTCATGGCGAAAACACAGGTTTCCGGGTGCGCGAGCTATACACCAACGAAAGTGGCTATTCTCACCCGCCCCGAAGTTCTCGCAAGATCAACTCCTCCCCTCTTCTCTCTCTCTCTCTGTCTCTTTCTGAATACTGTCTATCGGTGTGGACGATCAAATTGACCAAAACAAAGTTAAAAAATGATGTTAAAACACAAAAGTAAATTAATTTGGTTGTCTACAAAGATGCTACGGCTATTTAACTTTTCGAATCGAGCCGAACTACGCGGGTCGCCATTTTGTTTTGCCCGGAAATTCTCACGCTACTCCTCTCTCTCTTTCTCTCTCTCTCTCCACTGCCCACAGACAAAATTGTACGCTTTTAGTAGGCTACAGTTGTACTGGAACGTTTGTTCACGGCACAGAATTCTACAATTTTTCTGTTATCACAGTGTAGAATTCAGTGGTTTAGGGTGAACACAAAAATTTGGTGAACGCGCACCGGGTGACAATAGCCACAAGACTCGCCTGCACTATTCTCGTGGCCATACACCAACAGTACACACTGAGTGACCCAGGCGGCCAGCCCGGAACGTCAGACGTAATCAGTTGCTGATAACATTTGTACCGTCGGGACTTCACAATCACAACATGTAGATCTAGACAGACATTGAAAACAACAGGAGCCAGACACGACTGTACCGGTGGACGTACTCTTTATTACTGACCAGTAGTGACCACTCTTCTCTAAAATACGTGCCAGTGGTTACAGTTGCCAGGTCTTCCTAAATACTAAGGCAATAGAGGTGGTTTGCCTAATAGTAATGGACATTACAACATTCACATCTCAGCACAGACACAGGACAAGAGTTAAGGTTAGGGTTAGCAGCGGTTAGGGTTGGGGAAAGAATAAAATTAGAAAGTGTTGTTAGAAGTAGGGTGTTGCACTGTTGGCAGTGTTGGTTGGTCGGCCGGCCCTCTGCGGAACTCTTCCCTCGAACGGGGGGAGTTCAGCTTTAAAGATCATATGAAGTCCCATTTACCTTGCAGGTAGAAAATAGCAGATTTTATATACAGAGCAGCATGCAGTGTCCACGGACGCAGTTGAAGTCAGCACGAATAAAGTTTGTTATTCTTCGACAGGAAATACAGGCTCTTGTCGGCCATCTTGAGTTTATGATGTTGTTCCGTTTTCGATCTTGATAACAGGAGAAAGTACAGATAAATTGTGACAACAAATGACCTAACTGATAAGTTATTCTTTGACCCTCAAAATGATATTGCCTAGGCCCTAAATAATGTATTCCTACAAAATGCAATTAGAAACACTGATTTAAAAATTGGTATACATATCAAAATTCTTCAACAACTCAATGTCTACCACCACAAATATTTTCGGTTATTTTTGCAGTCTAAAGGTAACTCTGTATGACGTCATTTTATCAACACTAGGCGGCTTGTGGTTGGTTGAAAATAAGTGGTACGTAGCCTTGCCAAGTTAACCCGCTAGAGCTTGCTTGAACGTTACTTAAATAAACTTGGAGATAAACAAAATTAACCGCTATTTCATCATCCGCGTGTTTCACATTTGGCTTTTCTTCGGTGTTGCACAATGAAATCTAGCGCAGCAACCACTGTGAATTTGAATGAATAAAAACCAAACAATCAAACTTTGCCAATCTTTATATTATTGTTTAAATTTAATATCATCATCCCGTGCAGCAGGATTACACTATTTTATTTATAATAACCAAGTGCCGGCATCGTGGTTTGATTAAACTGGACACGACCAGCGGCGCCAGTCACTTTTTGTCCGCTTGACAATTTTAATTTAGTTTCAAGTGAATGAAAATTAATATATTTATCAACGTTCAAAAAGCACTTTGCCGATTTGAAGGCGCTCAAAGCGACTATAATATAATATGCCCGGGTTCACCGCTGATGGTGCCCTAAGCTGGTTCAGAGGACTTTCCAGATATGTGAGGAGAGTATGTTTTATTCACACACTCACACACAAACGCGCTCATATGACCTTATACAGTTGCGAGCGCCGTAAAACACGTACCAAAAAAAATTAATTGATTCATTAAACACGCAAGCGAACACATACAATAGTAACTGGATTAGGCCATGGGGTCGCAGAAAGCAAGGCATTCCTAAAACATGGGCCAGTTAGCGTGTTTTGGTTACTGGGTTTCTGGGGAAAGTGAGTCATGACCCCCACCCCCACCCCTATCCCCCCAT